AAACTTTTATCAATGGCTGAAAAAGCAGCGTTGTCCTTGCGTTCAGATGAAGGAAGGATATGGCGATAACGAACTGTATTCAATCTCAACGTCCATTAAACAATATACAAAATAAGAGCAGAGCAAAGACGGACCTCTGAAACATCAGAGGTGGGATCAGGTGCCATGGAGGAGTGAGCATCCCCTGCCGACCGGTCACATCCGGCGTGTGCTCGTTGTCATGATTAGGAAATAACGGAAAAAATTCGTTGTCAATTCAGTGTATAAAACATGGACTAATATTTGGTATGAAAAACGTCAGTCAGCTTTTGACGCAATGATATATTGTATTTGCTGACAAGTTCATTTTATCGACCATAGAATTTACGAAATGATGATTTTAAACGAGACTGTTGATATTCTTGTTTCATCAACTTGCTTGTCAATAATTTACCTCGTTTAAGAAATTGCTCATATGTAGAGTACGCTCTTGCGTATCGAATCAACTGAGATATATATACTCCGTATGCAGGTGATGAAGGTATGTTACAACGCACTTTGAAAAATTACGCACATTGAAAAATTTTTTCAAAGTGCATTAATTTTTGGGACCAGGTTAACGCACTTTGAAAAATTTTTTCAAAGTGCCTTGAATTTGGGACCAAATCAACGCACTTTGAAAATTTTTTTCAAAGTGCGTTAAAACTGTACATCATAATTTTACACCATGTAAACATTTAACGCACTTTGAAAAATTTTTCAGGAAACAAAAGGAATAAGACTTATATTTTAGAAATAGACAACAGTATTATCCCCTTGCAACGTATGATTGGATATAGTGATGCGATTATGCGTGTTATTACTTTATGTGCATTTAGTTTTTTCTGTGTGGAATTGACGTAATTTGTATCGGGATCTTTTTGGGAAGGAATGCTCCGCTTTAATGCGGTGCCCTTACTTTGATGTGTCTTTTTTGTAAAAACTGATGGATTGAAGAAAACCAAGAAACGGAAAACGAGGAAAAGACTGGCTGTATTAAGGTCTATCAGCTCAACTCTTTATCATTCCCACCCAGATATATCTATTTCTATAACTCGTAACCTTAAGTGTCAATGATATTTGAAAAAAAGAGCATTCTAAATACAGTATAAGAACTGCACAAGGAAGGCTGCAGTAAATCGAAATTTTGTTCTTTTAAATCTCAAAGTTTATTTATGTTCATTTTCAGAAAAATCAGAATATTTATAACTAGCTGTAAATTCCTTATTTTTCGTAAGTGTTTTTTTTAATCGCGAACTGGCTCTCAAACGTCAAATCGCTAGAATTATAAATTGCGAATGAACGGTTTATTAACAGATTTTACATAGATTTAAGCACCAGAAAAATAAAAGCGAGAAATATTTTTTTTCGCGGGTAATACTTCTCGCGAAATTACGCAGAAATTAATTCCTCGCTAATATTAAGGAATCTACAAAACCTGTCTGCTTTTCGATGTTAATTTGATACCATATCTGATAATCTCTCTGTTAAACTCCAGGTGTTTAAAAACACAAGTTTTGCCAAAATTATAGAGTTATTTCCCAAATAAGTAAGGTTTTATGAAAATTCATATAAATATCTATAATTATTTTTAGAATCATTCCAATATGTTAACATTTGAGAATTGACTAAGAGATAGGCGGAAGAACAATACTATCGTTCGTAGTTCTTTACGACATTGAATGTTGACCTTTTGACCCCAAATTTAAAAAGGGTCTTCCTAAGGCCACAGGGATTCTGTTATGTTAAATTTCATTGCAAATGTTTAAAGGGTTGGCGAGATATCGTGTGGAAACGAAAGCGTTACAGAAAGACGGATGGACGGACAGCTAGACGGACGGACTGACAGATAGATCCAAATAAATATCTCCCACTTTTCAAGCTGGGGACAAAAAGTATCAAATCAGGTTCAAATGATAATTTATCATACCTTGTAGTAATATTAACTAAGCCATGCAGAATTATTTTTTCAAAGTGCGTTAATATGGTCGATATTAACGCACTTTGAAAAAAAAATATTTTTTCAAAGTGCGTTAACCTGGTCCCAAATTTTAACGCACTTTGAAAACATTTTTCAAAGTGCGTAATTTTTTTTAAAGTGCGTTGCCACACAAGGTATATTGCTGCATAAGTAGGGGAAGTTGACAATAGAAAACTTAAAGTCATCACGTCTATCATATAGCTTGGTTGTTAAATTACCATTAGTGTCTTTTTGGAGTAAAATATCCAAGTATGAAACAGATGTGTCAGACTATGTGGTATCTTTTATCTAAAGCTCACCAGGATACATCATATCGACATCAGGATAGAAATAACCCTTGTTAATTTACAATACGTCGTCGATACATCTAAATGTCGAGTTGAAGGCCACAGCAAGTGTTTTATTCTATTCACGCATACAGTTTTTCATAAATTCTGCTTCATATAAATATAAAAATAAGTCTGCTAATAACGGAGCGCAATTTGTACTCATGCGATTCCAATAGTTTGTTGGAATGCCTGGTCTTCAAAAACCACATAGATATTGTCAATCAGAAACTCAAGCATCTTCTTGATGTCAACTTCAGAGTACTTATGTGTGAAATCAGAATCTGTTTTAACAAAATAATTTTTCAAATGACCAATGACGAGGTAAGTAAACTTACGAGTTCCATTTTTTGTTGAAGAAGCAGCTGTCAATGATATCAAAAAGCCTGGATTTTAATTTGTCATGGGGAATCGCTGTGTATAAAGTTGAAAAGTCGTAAATTTTTAAGCTGTTGATTTTTGTAAAGTCTTGTGATTTCGAATTGCCCAATAGTTCTTTAGAATTTTTAAGAATCCACATCTGATTTACACCACTTCTTGAGTATAGAGTTGCACAGTACTCTTGAAGTTTTTCCTTCACTACTGTCAATATTTTAGTGAGAAGTAACGACAGAGGCTTGGTTGAACATTTACTGGAACCTGCAATGTATCTTTGTTTGTAAGGATTAATCTTATGTAGTTTCGGAATCCAATATATATATATAAGGTAGTTCAAATTCATTTTGGTTCTGTGGAATATTAAAAGTATTCAAAACTGACAGGTGATTTTGAAGAATTTCTTCCTTAGAAAGAGAAGTATAAGTATAAGTAGGGTTACCATTTGTAGAATTAAATCCAAGTTCTTCTAGAATGCAATTTATATAATGAGCCTTACAAACGAAGACAATGTTGTTACCTGCTTTGTCGGCAGAAACCAGTAGGTACTGATCGTGTAATCTATCTAATTCTTTTTTCACTTCTGGCTTATTGAACACTGTAGGATAGATGGTTTTCATTTTGCCTCTCATTTTTTTTTATACGTGACTTTAACATGGATCTGATACATTTAATCAATTCTGACAATGTGTCAATGTTTTCTTTTTTATATTTGGCCCATCGTCTGGCGTAATTTTCCACAGAATCCATAATATTTATGAAATTCCGACGCCAGTTGAAGGATCGGGGTTCCCTATATTTAGGACCTTTTAAACAGTTCTTTGGGACCATGATCGTTTTTGAGTCCTTTATTAGTACTGATATAAGTACTGACTGTTGCATCTATAACTGGACTTTTCCCTATCTTGTCAAACTCTTCATCTGACCATTTATACTGATATCTGTGACGATTTTTAAAAGATGCAATTTTGGGCAATGGCTTTTCAGTCTCTTTCCAAGCATTAACTATAATGCCATCTGCAGGTAAACTAGGCCCATCAGATTGTTTTTTACTGGAGAGGCCAGAAAATGACTGGGATAGAAAAGATTTTCTAGCCATCTCTTGGGGCTCTTTGGCTTCAATGCCAAGTATATTTTGCACATTGTGAATCATATTGTCCCAAGATTTTGGAACTGAATCCTCGTCTTCCTCTGCTGTATTAGCATGCAGAGGTGCCTCAACTGCTATATTTACACAGTCAGGTACATGAGGAACTTGTCTAGAACTTGTGCAAGTACGCTCACTCTGCCACGAGCGGCGTTTATCTGGAGACGTTGTGTCTAAATAACTGCAAGTATCGTCATCATCAGCCAATACATTTAAGGGGGGCTCATTGTCTTCGGCGTTGTTACTTGCCAAAGAATCTTTATTACCAACAGAAAGCAGATTGATAACTTTATTTTCAAAAGCTGTTTCAAACATCGCATCGCTTTCACGTCTAGATAAATACGCTGAAGAATTTACCTCAGGCACGATGTCGGAGTATACGGGTTCCGAGAAATCAGGAACAAGGGGAATAAATTGTCGTTTAGAAGATGAGGTCTTTTCATTTTTAGAATCCTTACCATGGTTCTTAGTAGTGTGGCTCTTACCAGAACCACCAGGTTGTTGTTCCTTACCAGTTCATTGGCGAAAAAGCTTCCCCGACTCGTTAGATCCTTTAAACACATGTTTTTCTTTATCTTTACCCATCATGAAGAAACATAAAAGAAACACTGCTGCGATCGAAAATATTCTTCACGATTTCAGTAACAACTTTCTTTAATGGCGCCAAGAATGAAGATGAGCATGCGCGGAAGTAGTTGGCGCTGCTTGGGTTTGTGGAGTATATAAAATTTGACTCGGCGGTGGTTACAAATTCCGGAAATGAGTACCTATTGTTAACTCTAGCAGGTAAGTATGATGCGCAGGAGATATGTGAAGTTTACCTAAACTGTACGATCAGGTAATCTAAAAAAGTTAAAATGTACCGGAACAATCATGTACAGTAAAACTCGGTTATAACGAAGTCACGGGGACCTAGGAATTTACTTCGCTATATCCGTAATTCATTATATCCATAAAAGGAATATGTAAAATTTGTATAGCTGGGGATCCAAAATAACTTCGCTATAACCGTAAATTCGCTATACCCGTGTTCGTACTAAACGAGTTTTGCTGTATAAGGACACAGTGTTAGAGAGACGACAGTTAACAATGAAAAAAAAGCTTATTTGAACCCTTTGTCCAGGTGAGTTAAAATGTCTCCAAAATAACGTACGGTGGCCCTTGGTCTTCTCTTCACTTTTTTTTCTTATCTGAATTGCTCCACTTTTTATCTGCTCCCCTTTCGTTGCTGGTCGAGTATTGCCAAAATGGATATCTAGGAGAAACATATATATACCAAATATACATTATTCTAAGATGTCTACAGAATTTTGAAAAAGAATTTCAACAATGAAGCACTCAGACTAGGCATTTTCTTTCTTTGTTTAATCCATTATTGAGGGTGGAGATATTTAATGTATGTAACATTCACTGTGAGCAAAGTGGCTATGTAAAAAATAATGTCGCATACTGTTGTTATATTGCTATAAAACATTGTGTAAAGTTTCTCATTCATCTGCAGATAATAATAAAATATTAGGATCGAGTATATACTCAATTTTGAATTTACTTTGTATGGTTTTGATTATATGGGATTAAAAGTACTCAACTTATTGTCTGAAAAAATAAGCAATTTTAGCAATACAAATAAAGAACATTTTTCTCAGAATGTATCAAAAATAGAAGGTTCACATCTCTAATGGTTATACATATTACAATCACTGTTCAATGTTTAAATAAGGTACAAATAAAACCATGGTATAGATATCATATTGTAAGTATATCCTCGACATTCTAACTGTTTCACAATGCAAGATGTTAAGGAAATGCAACCGGACTGCTAAAAAGTAACACGAAAAATACCACACACACAGATAGGAACTTATTTTGGGTGGTACATGTAACCCATCTTCCGAATCCAACGTCAATTTAAATACTTTTAAAGATGATAGACAGATACACAATAAGTCATATTGTAATTTGCTAAAATATATGAAAATGCCAATTAAATATGCCACAATTTAACAATTGTTTTTGTCCCAGAATTACTACACAATTACAAGTAGCAATGAGCATAATGCATAATATAATACATACATCGACGGGACGATCTTTCTTCTTTGCTGGTGTGCATTTTAAATTGTTCCTGTTTAAAAAAAAATGTAATACTGTATTTTTATAACCTTTCATTAATTCAGCAGGTTGGCATATTCTAGATTAGAAATGAATCATATGGAGAAAACGAACAGAATTGAAGAACAAAAGCCCATAAAACAATACAAAACAGGAGCAGAGCAAAACGGAGCTCCAAAACATCAGAGGTGGGGTCAGGTGGCTGAAAAAAATTACTGATTTCAACCCGCCAATAAAGGAACAACTCCTTCTTTTTTATAAATTTTTTTACATGTAAGGCCCCAAGATGCATCGACTTACAAGATTCTAAATCTCCCATTCTCTGAAATAATGGGATTACATACTTTATATTAGCTAAAAATTTCAAAAAGTAGGTCACCTACTTTTAAGTTGACGTCGTTTGATTACACATTATGCATCAACTGACATAGTTTGATGATCATAGGCTTTAAAGTGTCAAAAATATGCCTTCAACTCAATTTGAAAACAATGCCTTCAAAATTAAACCAGAAGTCTCTGTCGAAACTGTAGCTTAACTGGTTTGTACTCATAACAAAGGAAGAGAAAAGTAGCCATTGGAACTTGAATCTTTACAACAGTAATAAATATAATAATAATGCTTGATTAAATCTTTTTGGGGGGTAACTTGTTACAAGTTACCCGGTATATTAAAATCAGACCAAAACTGCAGGAGGAGTAGCGTTTTAAAGGAATTTCATTGAAATTTATATTTTTAGTAACCATGGCAACAATGTTTATCGGAAACAAAAATCGAGGCACTAGATTATGTATCTCAGTGTAGTGTCTTTGTGTGTCAAGTTATATTGAAATCGGACCAAAACTGTAGGAGGAGGAGTGTTTTATGGAATTTCACAGAAAAAAAAATTCATGAAAATTTCTATTTTTATTAACCATGATAACACCGTTTATCGAAATCAAAAACCGATGCACTAGTTAATGTATCTTAGTGTATTCTACTTTTGTGCTAAGTTATATTGAAATCAGACAAAAGCTGTAAGAGAAACATTTTGATAAACTGTTTATAGACAGACAAACAGCTAGACGGAAGGATGATGGACACCTCACTATCGCATAAGCTCTTATGATCTCTGACCATCTTTTCACGATGAAAATATCAGGATATACATTCATATGGCACAAAAGTGTTAAAAGTTTTTCGACTAGTTCATTCAAAAGTGTCAAAGAACAGGTTAAGACAAAATAATCTCGTTTACGGACGGACATGGTGATACAATATATCCCCACCCTAAACGTCGTTTGCAGGGGGTATAAAATTGCTTTCAATGTCTAAGTGGTCATGGTCATTGATAATGAGAAAATTAATGAGAAAAAATTAGAGAAAAAAAGAGAGATTTATTGAAAGGTTGTGAAATTAGAAGCATATGCTTTTTTTACTTACTTTAACCACTATTAACTCAAATAATTTGAAAACAAGATGTGTTTGTGAAACACTGATGCCCCTGTATCTCAACATAGCAAAGATTAAACTTTTTCTTAAACGTAAATAAACTAAATTAGTATCCAAAGTAGGGTTTTCTAGAAATACAATTGTGAAATATGATGCCTTAGCACCATCTGTTCAAAAGTTATGGCAGAGCATAATTTGTTTTAAAGGTAGGTCAAACTCCAGAGTCAAGGTCAAAGGGACAAAGTTGTTGAATTCTTATGAAAGGTCTTGTCAAAACTATTAAATATGAGAAGTATCAAAGCTCTAGCCCTAATTGTTCAAACGTTATGGTCTATGTCAATCATTTTAAAAAGTAGGTCAAACCCAAAGGACAACGTCAAAGTTCTTAATATAAGGAAGTATGAAAGTCCTAGCCCTGGCCCTTCAAAAACTATAGTCAAGGTTTGTTTTTTCTAAGTAGCTGAAGGTCATGGTGAGAGGGTTAATGTTTTTGGTATCCAGTGAAGGTCTTATGCTCACAATAATTTAACATATGGGAAGTATGAAAGCCCTAGGCTTTACCGTTCAAAAGTTTTGACCATGGTCAAAATTGTTTCTTAAGTGGAAAAATCTAATATGTCAAGTTTCAAAGGTAATATTTGTTGATATCTTTTGGAAGGATAACGAACGGTATTCAATCTCAAAGTCCATAAAACATTACAAAATAAGAGCAGAGCAAACACGGACCCCCAAAACATCAGAGATGGGATCAGGTGCCATGGAGGAGCGAGCATCCCCTGCTGATCGGTCACATCTGCCGTGCACTCCTTGTCATGATCAGGAAATAACGGAAAAAATCCGTCGTTAATTCATTGTATAAATAATGGACTAACAATTGGTACAAAACAACAATCAGCAGTTGACTCGATGATAAATTGCATTTGCTGACAAGGGCATTGCATCGACCATAGAACTTACGAAATGATGTTAAACGAGACTCCTGATATTCATGTTTCATCAACTTGCTTGTCAATAATTTACGTCGTTTTAGAAATTGTTCATACGTAGAGCATGCTCTTGCGAAAAGAATTAATTGATATATATACTCCTTATGCAGGTGATGAAGGTATACTGCTGCATAAGTAAAGGAAGTTGACGAAAGAAAAGTTAAAATCATCACGTTTATCATATAGCTTAGTTGTTAGATTACCATTAGTGTCTTTTAAGTAAAATATGTAAATATGAAGAAGTGTCGGACTCTGTGGTATCTTTTATCTCAAACTCACCAGGATTTATCCTATCGACATAGAAATGGAAATTACCATTATTAATTGACAATATGTCGTTGATATATCTAAATGTCGAGTTGAAGGTCACAGAAAGTGTTTTCTGCTTTTAACGCATAAAAGTTTGCATAAATTCTGCTTCATACGAAAATAAAAATAAGTCTGCTAAAAACGGAACGCAATTTGTACCCATGGGAATTCCAGTAGATTGTTGGAATAATTGGTCACCAAAAACACATAATTGTCAATCAGAAACTGAAGCATGTTCTAGATATCAAGTTCAGAGTACTTATGTGTGCAATCAGAATCTGTTTTAATTAAATAATTTCGCAAATGATCAATTACGATGTAAGTGAATTTACGAGTTCCAAAAGTTCTTTAAAAAATTTTACCAGCCACATTTGATTTACACCACTTCTAGAATATATAGTTAAACAGTACTCTTGAAGTTTTTTCCTCACTTCTGTCAATATCTTAGTGAGGAGTAACGAAAGATGCTTGGTAGAACATTAACTGGGACCAAGAGTTCTTTGGAAATTTTGAGAATCTCTATCTGATTTATGCCACATCTAGAATAAGCTGTAGAACAGTACCCCTGAAGTTTTTCGCTAAAGAGTAAAGATGAGGGTTTGTTTGGCATTTGCAAGACATTATGAAACACTGAAATAGCAGACGTATTTTATGGTTGAAGCAGACTTTGTCCAACATCTTAAACCTGAAAAGAAAACACTTGCTGTTGCCTTCAACTCGACATTTAGATAAACCAACGACATATTGCAAGGTATGTTTTTTTGAAAATCAGTTAAATGTGATAGATGAGCTCAAAATGTATGCCTTTGTACACTAAATTTTCTCAATGTCCAATCAATCTTTAGCTCTGGTGATTAGAAGGTCATAAATAGGGTCATTTCCATCCTTACGTCGATATAATTTATTTCGGGGAGCTTGCTTTGAAAGATATACAAGGGCCTTGAATCGCTCTTCTGATAAATTGTACAAATTATCACTTGTATTTGAAGTCTCTAACCTTAAGTATCCTAAAACCTAAGTTGCATCAACTGATAAAAAGTTTGATGATTCTTAAGGTGCGGTCACACGATGAGACTTTTCATCAGATTTTCGATACGAATTTTCCATCCGATTTGCTTTCGACTAAAATCTTACCGTATGACCACCCAAGTCTAAAGTCGAAAGCAAAGTATGAAAGTCGTTTGGAAATCGGATGGCCGTCAGATTTTCATTCGACTTTCTGAAGAAAATTGAGCGTCACAATGACATTTCCCGCGAAACGAAATTAAAAAAAAACATGTAAAAAATAACAGTTTTTCGTTTTATATATAAATACAC